ACCTGTCATATGGGGTGCACCGGATCTTAAGAAGATTGTTCTGTGGGTCTGAAACGACGCCGTTAAGACTCCAGCTTGACCAGAATACGAAGGTAAATAATAATGGAAGGAGATTAGAAGGTTGAAGCATGTTCAGTTGAGAGAAGAAGGGGAAGAAGAAAATCAAATAATGGAATGAAGATTTGGCCTGTATGGAGAATAATGTGGAGAATAACGAAAGAAGGATCATGGTGTTTTAGAATGAAAGTGTGTGTATATATATAGGAGTAAACTTAGGTCAAGTTAGTTAGGTGTGTGTATATATAAAGGAGCGCGTTTTCATTTTTGTAAAATCAACGTGATATGTGATATGACCAATATAGTATATGACTATATGGGTAGAGATGGAAATGCAAAGTGTTAGTCTTTTTCTTTTTTTTTGATTTTAGTGGCATGGTGTTCATTAAGATTATTGTTATTATTATTTACTATTTCAAATATAGTAGCAAAGTTTTTTTTTTGTTTCACTATTAGCTTCAGCATTGTAAAATTATGTCCACTTCTCAATGTGTTTTCCCTCTTAATCAGTTTTACCTTCTTAGTGAAGAAAATACATTTGAATTTCATTTTAATTGTCGTTTACTATCGATGTTGACATACAGTTGAAAACCTTTTATTTTATAAGTTTTTTCTTGAATTTTATTGGCACAAATTAAATAATCATATGCAAGTCTCTATAATCTTGTCTTATTTATTGATCTCCCTATAGTTTTCTCAATTATAAGCATTGATTCCAATAGTCATAATTTATTAATTTATAAGGAAAACAATATTAATAACTGATAAGATAACTCTCACTTAATGTCTAAAACCCTAATCTACTTTGTTTCCTATATTTACTTATTATTTTTTTTCTCAAAGTAGTCTTCATGGTGATTAAAGGATTTTTATTCTAATGCAAATAATGAACAAGGGAATTTTGGAAGACAGTATACATTTATTATAAATAACTAACTTAACTAATAATTTTTTTAATATTCACAAATTAGTTATCTAGTTCTTATGTTAAAAACATGAGGTAGTACTGTACTATATTTCATTTAATCATCCATATCAGCTATGATGAACAGATTATGAGCGTAGGAAGAAAAATATAATTGAGGAAAGTGTAAATATGTAATAACAAGAAAAAAAATATGGGAACCTAATTGAAAATTAGGTAAAACTACACAGGGACTGACAGATTAAGTTTCTCATTTTCTTAAAGATTAGAATTAATACTTAAACATATTAATTTTATTATCATAAAGCAAACTATTATTTATTTTTAAAATTTAAAACAATATTTTAATTTATGAAAAAATATAATTTGCGTATATATATATTTAAAAAAAACTTAAACAAATCACGTATAAATCCTATGCATACTGTGCGGCTCATGTCTTCTAAATGTCTACTACAACTTTCGGTGCATCCTTTTTCTACATGCTCTCAAAAACAACATTTTACAAGAACTTAAGAAGAAGAAGAAATCAAAGAGAAACCAATGGATCATGACATAATTGGGAAGAGAATGTACAAAACTCTCGCAGCAGTAGAGATTCAAAATCCCATCTTAGAATTGGACCACCCATATTGTAATTTAGAAGCCGAATACGATTATGCAAATCCGTTTCAAAAATTCGCCCCTCTGCAAAATGGGGCAAAAAGAACCATGCTGCCCTGAAAAAAAAAACCCCCAAAAAAAATATCTCTTCATAATCCTGTCGAAACGATGCCACTAAGGATCCGACCCCACCAAAATGTGAAGGTAATTTGATGAAAGAGATTAGAATTTGCTTACTGAGATTGGATCGGAATAGGTATATGTGTAGGGTTGGCTTTGTATTGTGGAGAGAGCTAATGATTCATGTCTAAAGATGAAGAAGGAAGCCAAAGGATGAAGAAGACAGACCTAATTAGGTTTTAATATATATCGGGTGTGTGTGTGTGTGTGTAAAACCATCCATAAGATCTAGATATTTATAATTTAAAAGAATCCAGATTTGATGATGATGATGGCTAAAGTAAAAAAAAAAAAAACCACCCACGCACACATATATATTCTCTATAAATAGAGAGAGAAATAAGGCATCTTGACATAGAGGGCCAGATAATCATGTAGGCAATGATGGGATATTTTGATGGCATTTAATTTAATTTCAATTAATTTATTTAGAGAGTTGACTTTTAGAATTTAATTCATATAATATTTATTAAGTTGGGTATGAATTGGCCAAATAAATTGTGGCTGTGAGAATCATATCGAACTTATCTGTAAACATGACGCCTCTGAGCATACAAGCTGTTTCCAAAGCGTGTGCCGTGAATTTAGTGATGGGATTTTTTTTTTGGTTCTTTTTTTGCCATAGCAAGATGATGTTGTGGAGTTTGCAAGTGATTAAATTGTCACAATGAAATGTATTATGATCATAACTAAAATCAACCCGTGCTCTTCGGAGGAGGAAATTTTAAAAAATAATAATTACAACAATTAAAAAAAAATGTACTCATACCCAAAAAAAAGAGTCAAATATACTAGCTCTGTTTTAAACGTCAGACATTTTTACCTAACACATGAACCTTAAAGAGAAACAATTAGGTAATTAAGATCCTAAAATTTTTACAACTTTCCCTTTCTCTATATCCATTATTAATTACTTGTGTTTAATAGAAGAGAATTACGTTTGATTTACATTTGACATAAGGAATTTTAGGTAGGGCATTCAACATATGGTGGTATTCGGTGGTTAAAAAAATACAATATTTTAATATTATTTTTTTTAATTCAACTAGCGCTCTAAATGTTATTTTTCAACTATATCTAACACATTAATCTTATTTATATTTTAGGATGCTAGATACATTATAAATAATATCAGAGTGCTAGAAGTTGAAAATAAGATTAGGATGTTGAATACATTTAGAAAATAGGGATAATTAATCCACAGCTCCTTATAGTTTCAACTAATTTTGAATTAGGTCCTTATAGTTTTTTTTCTTTTTATCAGATCTTTATACTTTCATCTGTTTTTAATTAGGTCCTTGTATTTATTTTTCTTTTTATCAAGTTCTTATAAGTTTACCTTATTTTTAATTAAGTCCCTGAATTTTTTATTCTTTATTTTATAAATTTTAATAGTACTATTATATAAACATAAAATAGTATATATTATTTAATATTAGTTTATAAACAATAATATTCTAAAGATATTGAATTATTATAATGATTTTAATTTTTTCAGCAAAAAAATTAATTGTTCTAAAAAATATTCCTGAATTAATTAATTCTATTACTTTTTTATTACATAATTATTAATTTAATTTAATTATTAATATTTATATTTCAGTATTAATCTATTTAATTAAGTTTATATTTAATTAATAAATAAAAATTAAAACTACATGGACCTGATTAAAAATTTAGTGAAATTATAAGGACTTAATTAAAAGAAAAATAAACACAAGGACCTAATTAAAAAAAGCTAAAAGTATAAGGATCTGATAAAAAGAAAAAAAACTATAGGGACTTGATTCAAAATTCGTTGGAACTATAAGGACTTGCGGATTAATTAACCCTAGAAAATAATATCATAGTGTTGGATATTGTTTTACTCTTTTAGGTAAAAAAAAATTAATTCATTTATAATTTCGTATTTTTTGGTCTTTTTAAAAGGCATCATGTTATTCACCGAAAACAAGGCACCATAGTGATTATTTATTACAACTTTCCTACCCCTACGATTTTCTTAGATAATTGTGTTTTTATTTTTCTTCGAATTTTTGCATAATATCAATAAAATAGAATGTCTTAATTATTTGTATTATTATAAGATTATATATATTTATTATCTATATATTTTTAAAATAGATTAAGGATTGAATTATTACTTTTTTATTTTTTATTTTTTTGAACAATTATTTTTTAAATATTTTAAGAACTTTATAAATAGCAATCATATTCCTCATTATAGGCCGACTTAGTTGATTGAATAAAATATTCTACTATATTTTTAGGATCCTCTCTCTTTCTTTCTCCTCTCTTTCCCCTCGTTTCACATCATGGGGAGTGGGGAGATCATGCATCCAGATAGGACCCAACTTGTGACTTGTGAGTAGTTGGGCAGCCACCAACCTCAAATTAATTTTGCCTTTTTAAATTCTCAATTTTGTCTCCATTAAAATAATATATCATGTATGAAATAATGTGATTTGTATATTTACTATTAATAATTTATTTTGGGCGGCTTTGAACATTACTCCCTCCGATACTATATATAAGCTTTATTTTCGGAGATAGATTTGATCTAAAATATAAATTTTATTTTTGAGCTTGTTTGAGTATTTATTACTTTTCTTCCTATTTTGTTTTAGTTGACTCTATTTAGTACTCTCTCTCTTATTAATATTACTCCTATATATTCTCTTTCATCATTTTTTTTATTTATTGACTCACATTGACTCTCTTAATAAATAAGGGCAAATTTGAAAAAACAATGATACATTTCTGACATATTTATTATTTTTAATAATTTTAACTGCTAGTTCATTAAATGTGATTCAGTTATTTGAAACTTATAAATAAGACAGGAGGGAGTATCTCTGTTAAAATAATATCTCATGTGTATGGAATATGGATGGCAAAAAAAAAAAAAATATCATGCGTGACATCACTTTAAAAAAGTCACATTATGTACAAATATTAACTTCATCAATTAAATAATAGAACTGAATTCTTGATGTCACATCTAAGATTTTAACAAAATTAATGTAGCTTTCCAAATTGCATCCTGTAATCATATATTCACATATAATTTCTAAGACGAATGTACAAAATTACACACAAGTATTGAATAAAATGAAAATTAAAGATGTACAGTTGCATGTACTCAATTGCTTTTTCTATTTATTTTTATGATCAAAATTCTAAAATAACCCACAAGTGGTTATTTCCGTACAATTAGAGGATAAACCAGGGACCACTAATTAGCTTCAATCAAGATTGGCATAGTGGGCGTTATGTTCTCTAATAAGTCCTTATTTTGGAGCAAAACAACTATTTCAGACATCATTGGTCTCCTATCAGCAGATGCTTGGATGCAAAGCAAACCAATCTCTATGATTCTCTTCACTTCTTCTGCATCATAGGCATTAGGATCTAAGGTATTGTCCACCAATTCCAAGTGCCTGTCTTTCTCATAAAGTTTCCAAGCCTATCAAATGAGACAATAGGGAAGTGAAAAAGAGGGATACAAGAGACAAATGAACATATTTACGGTAGTGTCTTCTTAGATATTTCTCAGATTCATTGTATATTGGCATTGGAGGAAAGGATTTTCCGAAGACAGCTAAATAACCTAGAGCTTTATTATTGAAAATACATCCCCATGTCTAAATCTTCTCAAAGATAAACACGAGGAACTGCAATAATAATGGGAATTTCCTCACCTTTTGAAGGAGGAATGCACCCTCATCATTATTATCAAGCCTTAATTCCGTGCTTTTCTGACCACTGATAACTTCTAACATAACAACACCATAACTATAAACATCAGCCTTTTCTGATAATTAGCCATGAATTGCATACTCCGGTGCTGTATATCCTCTAATAAATACAATAGAATGTGATATAATTAGATTGAAACAATGACTCCAATAGATATTAAACACATACATATACACAGTACATATAATTATAGATCCAATGAAGTCTGAAATAGGCATATGTAGTGTAAATTTTTGTGCCATGTTTGACATTATATATATATGAATTCTATTGAGTATCATAGGTGTAGAATATAGTGTTCGATTGACTCGTGTGTGAGTGTTTGTGGGCGTACTCACATATATATTATCAATACCTCATACAATCCATGTGCTATAATAGAGGTAAAGAAAATTAAATATAATTCTTTGAACTTACAATGTTCCTGCGACTCTTGTGTTTAGATGATGAGATTTGTCTTGAGGTAAAAGCTTTGCCAATCCAAAATCAGCAATTTTAGATTGTAATTCATCATCTAAGAGGATGTTGTTAGTCTTTATATCTCTATGTATAATACGCACATGAAATTCCTCATGTAGATAAGTCAAACCTCTTGCTATTCCTAAAATTACATCATATCTCTGCTTCCACTGGAGGGAACCTTTGTTTCTACCTATTTTCCAAGTGTACAGACTTTGAAAGGTAAGAAAAATATCAAGGGCAAACCTTAAAAATGATAAGGGAATTGATATGGAAAGCTTATTATCATGTTCTCCAACGTAAGTATGACATATGATTAGGCTTTTCTTTCATAAGTCGGTGTTGTTGTGTTGTTGATTTGAAAATGTGCACTCATGTCTTTATGTTAAAAAGAAAAATAATAGATTATGCAAATTCATAAAAGCTGTTGGTTGATAGAAGATACCGAACAGGAATTTGTCAAAGCTGCTGTTTTTCATATATTCATAAATAAGGATTCTATCATGCCCTTCACTACAATATCCCAGAAGCCGAACAAGATTCCGATGATGAACATTACTTATAAGCATCACTTCACTTTCAAAATCCTCTTCCATCTTCCTGGATTGTTGTAAAGTTAATTTCTTGATTGCAACAACTTTCCCATTCTTCATAGTGCCCTATGATGATAATTAAAGAATTTCAATTGTTATGAGTACCACGTTTGTCCTTTTGGAAATGTATTTTTAGAGACATACTTGCTAAAGAGCATGATCATAAATATTTAAATATTGAATATCAGATTAAAATTACCTTGTATACAACCCCAAATCCTCCTTCTCCTAGTTTGTACTCTTCACTGAAATTCTTGGTTGCATATACCAAATCATTATAATTATAAGTAGCTAGACCTTTCAACTTGCTTGCTCCAGTCATGTCTCCTGTTTAGGAAAATGCAAGTCAAAGTCACTTCATAAGGTAATAAAACTTGTTAGGGATTTGATCCACCCCACTAGGGTGATTTTCCTATCATTAGAATGCTAATTGACCTTATTTCAAGGAAAATCAAGAGGGAATTGAATAAAACTGAGATGGGAGATCCAAGTCCGAAGTGCAACAAATCTACGATTTTGACCTTATTTATTAATTGAGTTTATCCATGCTTGTTAGATTATTTTACATGTGAGTAAAGTACGAGATTCATCTAGCTACTTGCCTCTGGGTCTGACCTTGACCTTGACCTTGGAAGATTCTTCTTCCATATGTAAGTTTGTGATTTGAAAACATACTACGACTAGACCTCCCCCCCCCTCTCTCTCTCTATATACATATATATCCTCTTGTAAGAAAATCATACCCCAAGTATTATTCATCCTTCATAGATATGAAAAACAAAACATCGCATTAAATAATTTAAATCTGATATACCTCTAGGAACCCTCTTATTCCTTCTTGGTCGTCTAGTCCAGGCAAACAGTGCAACGAGGATTAACACAAGAGCAAGACCTCCAACAACCCCTCCAATTGTAACCCCCTTTTTGCTTGATCCTACAGTATATATAGGAAATTAAACAACAGTAATTCATTTTCAAACTAGTCACTCATTTTGAACCGCAAATTTTAAAAACCAAACTATATATTTATCTATGGGGATCGTATATCAAGCTAAGTGCATGCATCTAAGACAAAAGGGGCTACATATATAGCGGTTAATACATTTTTTACCTCTCAAGTTTGTTTTCATTTTAGTTTTGATCCCTCAGGTGTCAAACTATAGGTTTTGATCTCTTAAATTTCTTTCCGTCTAAAATATTAGTCCTTATAATTTAATAAAAAGTTAAACCATTTTGCCAATCAAGGGACCCAAACCCATGCATGGTTTGAAACTTTAGGAAACAAAACCAAAATTCGTGCAAACTCCATCGATCAAAGATGGTATTAACCCATATATATATATATATATAAATCTTTGAATGATTTGTAGGTACCTTGTTTGATGATGGGCGTGATATCAATTGTGTGGGTATCATTAAAGAAGGAAGTGGTGGAGTATCTCAAGAAACAACCAGCATCAAAAGCATTGCCATCTGAAAAAGGAAGACAAATCTCTATACTATTGAACCTACCCTTCAAGCAATCAAGGCAACCATCGGTTGTGATAGTCTCAACACATTGAGCAAACGCATAAATATTTGTACCATTATTATTATTTGGAACATTAATCTTCGTGGCTGCAAAGAAACTAGGCATTCGAGGTGTTGTTATTTGGAGATTCATTAGCACCTGTCGCACTGTTGTGGTAATGGCTTGATCTCCCGTAGTCTGATTCCCACACGATACGAAATTGAAAGGTTGCGTCGTCTCGTCAAAGAAACCATTGGAGTTGTACCTTTAAACACCATAAAGTATGTCGTATCATTTTCCAAGTACAATATATGGACTTGTTGTGTATAAATCAAGCATATGATGAGAGAGGACGAATTTTTTGAGTTTGGATGATTCTGATGTGTCTGTGTGTTTGGAAATTAATTGATCGGTTTCTTATTATAAACTAAAATTAAATAGTAGACTGAAAGTGGCCGAGAATAATAAAGGAACTGATCCTGCTTCAACTTGTTTTATTTCAACTAATGCGTTTTTTTTAAGTTTAAATGGGTTGTTTACATATTCATTTTTGGGTTAATACTATAATTTTTTTATTGAATTTTAATTTTGATCGCTATAATTTCAAATCATGGTATTGTATCTTATGTCGCAGTGTGCACTTGGCTCCCAGTTAAGCATCACATCAGCTTTTTTTGTTTTTTGTTTTCATAACAGCCCTAGTTAACACTGTTCAATCGCCACTTAGATGATTTTAGGGATCAGTAATTATGTTTACAATATTGCGGGGAACAATGTTAACCGCCATTGGCGCAAAAAAAGAAAGAAAGATTAGTTAGCCAAAAAAGACTGTTAACGACCAACGATTCTAAAAGGAGAACCGGTTGATTCACCTGGCTAAATCGGAAACCCACCTAGTATCCGGTTCATAGTTGGGGGTAGATTGGGAATTAGATAGAACCAGTGCTAGTGCTTAACAATCGGCAATAAAATAGGGAACCATTTGAATCAAGGGTATGCAAAAACCCAGCAGTTTTGTCCGATCAATCCGAGATGGTCTGGTCCAATCAAATTCTGTCCAAATAAGCTATATAATAAAATTGGATCAGACTAGTTGGTCAGATTGGATTGAGTTCCAAACCAAGTGATTAGACTATTTAGATGGTTTGGTGAATTTGTTTTTAATAATTTGTAATTTATATGTTACCTTTTAGGTTTTTATCTGTTCATGATTAAGTCTTAATATTTTAGGATATGTTTTATATGATTATAGATATTTTTTAGGGAGAATTGCAATTAGGTCCCACTCAAGGGAATTAAATACAAAAAGGTCCCTTGAAATTATGAAATTATTCTGAAGTCCCAAGGGACCTTTTTGCAATAAATTTTATTTGTTTAATTACGAAATTACCCTTCTTCTTTTTTTAAATTTGTATTGACAACTGAAAGAGCAGTGGTTGACAACTCAGGGTGCAAGGATTGACAACTATCGCGGCTGGTTTGACAACTTATGGTGTGATATGCTGAGAAAATGTGTTGTCAAACCAGCCGCGATAGTTGTCAATCCTTGCACCCTGAGTTGTCAACCACTGCTCTTTCAGTTGTCAATGCAAACTTTAAAAAAAAAAAAAGGGTAATTTGGTAAGTGAATAAATAAAATTTAATGCAAAAATTTTTTGGGACTTTAAAATAATTTCATGATTTCAAAGGACCTTTTTGTATTTAATTTCCTTGAGTGGGACCTAATTGCTATTTTCCCTATTTTTTATTATATTAATTGTATTTATCACGTTGTAATCTTGCTTCCCACTAAGAAAAAAAAAATTAAGGTCTCAGACTCGACCAATCCACCTATTCATGGATCAAGTTCAGTCAACCCGACCTTGGGTTACTATTAAATTGAACTAGACTATGGATTGCCAAACCTAGTTTGATAAAAAAATCAAACTAAACTTCAAGTTGGATTTTGGTCTGGTTTGTAGTGAGACCATAATCTAAATTGATCCACTCTTTTTTTTTATTCGAAAATTTTAAATCGCAATATAAGGTTGAAAAAAGAGTCATGATAAAATATTCAAGAAATATGTGTTTGTATATATTATACATTAAAACTATAAATTTTAAAACAAGAATATATATATTAAAGAAAGTTTAAAGTGTATATTTGGTTCTTTAACCTTGTACAAGGTTTCAATTTGGCCTTTTAATTTAAAAAAGTATACTTTTAGTCCTTTAACCCTAAAATTTTTTTTTAAAAATGATGATGTTAAGATCTTAAATGTTGATAAAACATTCTCAAATACTAACATATTAAGTTTAATTTTCAAAAATCCATGACTGTTATAAAAAATCATCATTGAAGCCTAATGATTTTAGGGTTAAAGGACCAAATCCATACTTTTTAAAGTTACTGAACCAAATTAAAACCATGTACAAAGTTAAAAGACCAAATTTATACTTTAGCCTTAAAGAAATATTACATCTCATAATTATCTTTTTTTTTTCATTTTTGAAACTACAAGACATTTGTAAATTTTATTAAATTTTATTTTTACTTGTCTTAAATTTTTAATTACTTTTGCTGTTGTATTTTTCAAACTAATTTTTCTATAAATTTTTTTTTATCATTTTTGTCTTTCATTTTAAAAAAAATAATTAGGATATATTCAATATATATTTAGTCATGATAGATCTGAATCTGATCATAATTCGACTACCATCTCTGCTCATGGACCTTCAAACTGGGGGAGGACTAGTACGTACCTCACCTGACCTGACTGAATTAATTAACGAGCCAGAATTTTTAATATTCTGTGTGACACATATAGGAACAACGGATCTATAAATTTTTAGTACAGGACCCATTGAATAAAAGGTGCAGATCATATATAGGAACTGAGAGATTAATTTTTCTAATAACCAAATTTAACATTAAACAGCACAAACTGATGTTGTAGTGTCGTAACATATGGCCCAAAGAAAGAAACCTTTAAGATTGGAGAGAGTAGCTAGTGTGGTACCTGAGGAAGCAGCCGTCGTAGACGACATGGGCACCGGGGGCTACGGCGGCGACGCAGCTACGGATTCGTATGGCGGCGGCATCGAAGCACGCGACACAGTCGGGGATGGTAAGGTAGTTTCTGCACTGAAAAAGAGTGATAATGGGGTTTTCTCCAAGGCGTTGCTGTTGTGCAGTGGCGAAGTGCTTGTTTTGGTCACTGATCTGCTCTCTGATGGCTTGAAACGTTGCGTTTAGGTTGTCATGGTAGATGGAGATGTTGGTAACGAAGAACTCGTTGAATGGGTTGCACTGGATCTTAAGAAGGTTGGTCTGTGGATCTGAAACGACGCCGTTAAGAGTGGAGCGTGACCAGAATATGAACGTAAGTAAGGGAAGAAGACAAGAAGGTCGAAGCATGTTTAGTTGAGAGGATGAAGATGAAGAAGGGAAAGAAAATGAGAGGAGATATAGTGGAAGGAAGGTTTAATGGTGTTTGAGATACACACACACACACACACATATAGATACAGACGGCAATGAAAGGGTGGTGTTAGAATAAAATGTACAACTATTATTGTTATTATTATTCCAACTTCGTTGACTTTTATTAATTGGGCAATCAACGCCTGCGTTTGGTAATGAAAAATTGTTGAAGAGCTCGAAAGAAAACAATAATGGAAGTAACGATTATCTTAAGGATTGGATTTGCATAAGAGGCAGTAAAAATGAATTCGTAAGGGGCAAATGGATGTATGTTTATGCATGAATCATAATTAATGACGTAACTTTATTATTGTAAGACTTGGTAAGCACAATCTACATATATATATAGAGAGAGAGAGAGAGCGTAGATATTATTACGTAAGACGTTGGCAAAAAAATATATTGCTACCCCCGATTGTTAATATGAAAGTTACTTAATTTAAATATATTAAAAAAGTTAATTAAGTTAGTTATTTATAAAAAAAATATGAGTTGATTTCTTTAAAATATTCTTTTACTACCATTGGATGGAAAATTTCTTAATATGTTGAATCAATAAGGATAATTTAGAAAATAAATTATAAATTTAAAAGACAAAATAGATTGATGTCTTATATTTGAGATAAAATCTAACTTTTTAACTAGCTCTAATATTAAGGAAGAAAGGAAAGTACTACTTTTGGTCTTAATTATAAGATCTCGTTTGTAGTTTATAAAAAAGATTTTATAATTAGGACATGAAGTAGTATTACGTAAGAAACATGTGTCAAAACCAAGAAGTACAATTGTACATTTTCTTGCAAGTTGCAAGATTAAACATTCTCCTGAGAGCTACTCTTCATTGTTTTTTTTTTTTAATTCAGCTCTACAGAAACCCCCCGGGGGTGTCTCTTGCCCTCATTGGTTGAGTTAGGGTCCACCATAGTCGTGATCACTAATCAGTCTTATATAGGAATTGAACCTACACCGTCATAAAATTTCTGTAGTCATTTTCAAACACCCCTACATCACATATTCTTCACTCTCTCTCTATCTCTCTCTCTAACGTTTTCTTGAATTAAAGGACAAGCAGGTTACAAGTAAAATGAAATTTGCAATGTTCCATTTATAATGGCAGACCTCTCTCTAACTTCTACAGGTGAAAAAACATGTTTTATAGCACCTACTCTACATAATTAATTTTCATACCTCTTGACAGCGTAGTTTTATCACGTTACGAGGACCAGTTCTTTTCGTTTGATACAACCCCTGTTGGTTTAAAAAAAAAAAGCCAGAAAAAATTACTTTAAATTTCAAGACACTTCACACCGAAAAGTTACCCCAAAGCTATCTCAAACGTAAACCCAAAAAAAAAAAATTGTCAACTGGCTTTTTCTTCAAAAGCGCACTTTGCGGGCTTCATATTCCCAACAAGCTTTTGAGACTAGGGAGTAGCCAAGACAGCGTCATTATTGATTTTTCCATTCATGATCTGCAATGGCTTCTTCTCCATCACCACCATCCAAAACTTTTGACTTTTTGCTTGTATTAAATTATTAGGTGCACGTATGTGACGTATTCGGGCAGAGTTTCTGAGTTGGCCTCTCTCATCAGTCTTTTTCAGGTCTGTTAAAAAACCTTGTCAATTTATTTTCCTAAAAAAAAAATATCACATTACTTTTATTTTAAATTCTATATCTAGTAAAATAAAAAAATTATGTAAAATATTAAAAAAATTAAATTGAATATCAATCATCTAATCCAAATCAATGTGAAAGGTCAAAAATCAAAATTGATAGGAGCATTACATGCTCAATTTTTTATGAGCATATTCATATATATGCCCTGAGAGGCTTATCACCTAGAGAGAATCTTTTTCCAATGTATTGTTACTGCATTATTATTAATCAATTTAAAATATAACCCTTAAAGAGAGTCATATATTATTCATAAGACCTGAACATCAGTAATTTTATAGGCTATAGGCAAAAAAAAAATTTCTTTTGATTATTTTCCACAATTTCAGTGGCTTCCGTTCAGATCTTTTTTTTAAAAATTTCCCCATATATTTTTTGACTTCAATATAATTCAAATGTCATGAAAATGCATTGTTCAAAACAAATATCATTTATTCCACACGTCACACACAAAAAATAAATTATGCTCATACAATATCAATATATATGTGTGCGTGTGAATTTGGCATACGTCGTAAATATAATCTTGGGTGAGTACGTACGGCATGTGTGGAGTGGAGGACGGAGGTGATATAATTAATTAAAATATATGACATCTTATGTGCGTGCACAGTATGGATTAAATATATAGAAATTAATCTTTCATGAGTTCATGCCATGGATCCATATAGAAATTAATCCATATATATTAGGAAATTGAATAAGTTCCTTTTTTTTTTATTCTTCCCACTTGCAGGAGGAAATTAAATAAGGCCATTATTGGGGCAAGTGGCTGCAGGTGCATATTTTATTTATTTTGATTCTGCTTGCATTATTTGTTTTGTACGGGAAAAAACTTAGATCAAGTTCTTCATATTCATTATATCAAGTTCTCTAATTAGCCATGAGTCCTTTTTTTGTTTCATGTGAATTTATAATTAAATGCCAATATTTTAAAAATAGGACTATGACCATGTAAGTATTGTCTTTTTATGGAGGTCAAGGTCGTCTAAGAGGTTGCTACAGTTGAGATAATTAGGGGAGTCACTCATTATTCAAGTTGAAATGATCATCTATGATCAATATTAACGCCAATTTAAAGTCTCTCTTTTTCCCTTCCATCCACTTCCCTTCTCTTCTTTTTCTAACCATTAGATTAACACATTTCAACAGTATCTTAATGTTTTTAAAACTTACTTATAAATATTTTTAAAAGTCTTTAGTGCATTTGTAAATTGTTGAAATTAAATTTCAGTAGTATGTATTTTATTATTTATTTATTTATAATTTAACATTTGAATAATAATTTTGAAAAGATTAAAATATCAACCATTAAAATATTGATCTAAGGGTTAGAAAAGGAAGAGAAAGAAAGAGGATGGAACGAGGAGAGGAGAGGCAATGATGTAGTACATGGAGAAGCAAGTCTAGTTCAATAATTGATGCAACTATGGATGATGAATAAACTTGACTGATTTTTTTCCTTTTTTTTTTTGAGTGAAAAGGAATTTATTGAAAAATAACAACAAACTTACAGAGGAAATAAAAGGAAAAAGAAAGAAACAGAAACTACTAAGAGATTACATAATAAGCTGTTTATGCAACTCAGCAGATCTTATAGTTTGATCGGTCAAAGAAAAGACTTCATTAACTAGTCTTAGAGGCTGGGTCTCCTCATGATTGAAAAGTCTTCCATTGCGAGCATTCCAAAGTTTCCAACAGAGGAGACCAAACATCACTCACCAATTCAGTCTGTTCTTGATCGTGTCCAGATTCTTTTGCAACCATCTTTCGAAGGATATGCTCAGGAAACGCGAGAGGTGACACGGGGGTATGACAAGGCTCCAGCAGATCTGAGCCCAATAACAACTCCTTAAGACATGGTCTGAGTCTTCGACTCCGTGTCCGCATGATTCGCATTGGGTGCTATGAGTCATGTGTCTCCGGTAATGTTCAGCGTTAGTTAGGAGCTTGTTACTTAAAGCTAACCAAAGGAAGGATCTTACTCTCTGTAGTCCTGGCCATTTCCATGCTAATTTCCAAATCGGGTTTTCTTCCTCCCATTCATTCTCCATAATCAATTGGTAAGCTGATTCGAGGCTGAACCCATGTTGAGAAGTTAGCCTCCAATAGCAGTTGTCTTTTCCTTCTGTTGGGTTTAGGGGACACGTCTCGGAAATTTAACGTAGGATATCTTGTGGGAGGTGTTCAGAGAATTCCTGCCAGTTCCATCTTCCATCCGTAGTTACAAACTGAAGTAGCTTCTTTTGCCTATTCGTTTCATGTATGGGTTTATAGGCTAAAAGCCATAAGGGACCAAGATCTCCTACCCAATAGTCCTCCCAAAATCTGATTCGATCACCATTACCTATCTTCCATTGAACACCTGAGTTCATGTCTTCTATTACAGCTGCCATACTACGCTAGAAGTGTGACACATTCTTAGTTCTCATACGCTAGTCAGGTTCACCATTCCAGCCATACTTGCTTGTTATGATCTGCACCTAGAAGAGGTCAATACAATGCATGAGTGCATAGGCTACCTTCATCAAAAAGGCTGTGTTCTGTCCTTCTATGCCCCTGATTCAACAACCCCCGCGCGTCTTAGGCTGGCAAAGTTGAGACCATTTAATGAGATGAACGCTTTTACAGCTATCTGTGTCTCCCCATATAAAGCTTCAAGTAAGGGCTTGGAGTTTTGTGCAAGTAGAAGTAGGGATGCGTGTTGATTGCATAGCATATAAAGCAATTGTTGAAAGCACCGACTGCACCAGGGTTATTCGTCCTGCTAGGGAGAGCGATTTTGCTTTCCATCCTAATAATTTTTTGTGCACTTGCTCTTCTATGTACTTATAGGTGTCTCTTGTGATTCTACCATGCAAGAGCGGTACTCCCAAATACTACCCCAGGTTGTCTATTTTTTGGTATCCCAATTAAGCACTAATGGCGCTTGCCGCTTGGTGGCTTACATTTCTCGAGAAATGTATTCTCATTTTGGCATTACTGACTTTCTGTCCTGAGAAGTTACAGAAAGTATCAAGTATGTTCTGTATCAACTTTACTTGGTTGGCCTCCGTGGTACTGAAGAGTATAAGATCATCTGCAAAAAACAGAGTGGGGCCCCGTCTTGCTCATGCGAATTGGTTTCCAGGTGCCTTTGTTTACCTCCATTTGAATAGCTTGTGACAATCTTTCCATGCATAAGACAAAAATATAAGGAGAGAGAGGGTCCCCCTGCCTGATCCCTCTTTGAGGACAAAAGGATTCTCCCACTGCTCC